GTGGGTAAGTTACTGTAGACAGTTAACTCAGGGCTCTGCTGGCCTTGTGTGTATGTGATCACTGCAAAAGAAAATGTTTATTACTCACTGTGTTGATAGATTATTGACAGGCAAACCACATGTTGTGGAACCCCCGGGGGAACACTAGGGTTGATAACTGTGGTGCAGGTATAATTACTAATAGCACCTGTGTTCACTCTCAAATGTGCATGTACTGATCCACATGTGACAGCTATTGTAGGTATATTTTTGTCTGGCAAGTTTTCTTTCACTTTTTGCTTTTGGCTATCACTTTTTTGGCATTGACTTGTATCTGAGGCAGTGTGCTAAGTATTTCATATATCCACATGTCATTTAACCTGCCCAAGAATCCCATGAGGTAGAGATATTATTTTGCACTTCAACATTTTATAGATGCATAAACTGAAGTTGAGAATTTCAAAATTCTATACTTTAGAAAGTTACATAAGATTATACAACACCCTAAGTAATACTAAAAATACCATTCCATCGTTTCAAAGGTTTTTAGGCATTTCAGCACACAGTATCATTTTACACTACCACAATAACACTTGAAAATGGATTTTTCATTCAACCTGCATAGCTTCTCTTTGTCAGAGTCTTTTATTACTTTTCTGAAAATTTTTGACAGAGAAATGTTAAGAAACTTTGCTTTTTTTGACCGTATTATCAGAGTAATCTTTCCTCTAAAAGTAATGACTACTTAATTACTTTTTAGGAAAATCAAGTAGAACGAACCATAAAAATGTCCAGAAAACAGCAGTGTTTTAGAAAGACATTGAGTGACTGGAGTTTTATTTCCCTTAATTGGGAAAATGCAGCATTTCAGTAGATTACAGGGTCTTCTCAATTTCCTTCATTCTCTCCCTTTTCCTAGATTGCTTTCCCAAGAGTTTTCACTAGAACTGCATGATCAATATTTTCCTACTGTTTTTTTGTTTGTTTGTTTCCACCAAATCACAGGCAAAAATCTCCCAAACACAACTTTTAAGTTCCTCCTTGTTATGAACAGATAGTTAGCCCTTGGAATATGAGAATAATTGCTATGATAAAATGCCTAACTTTCACTAGAACCACTTTATACCAAGTAATTTGTGCAGATCTGGTTACCAGTGAATTTTACCTGTGGAACAGGGATAAGACTGAAGGAAGGAGGGAAGGGAAATGTAGGTCAGTCCTAACTGAGAGATGGGGAGGACATAAATCAAACTCCATGATTACGGAAGTCAGTTTCACTCTGGAAATTAAATGTCTTAATTTATTACTAAAAATAGTGCATGGAAATAAATGTCTAGGCTATTTTATAAAGCTGTAGTGGTTACACTTCGGCCTCATCACTCAGTGGAGTGGAGGAGTTTACCTCCCATGCTTTAATTCACGCTGTAAATTGAAGTCAAGATTGGAGCAGCCACACCATTCCCTGTAATAAAGATTTCAGGGAAAGTTTTTCCAGGGAGCAGTTACATGGTGATTTAAAGCCATGATATATTGCTTTCAGTAGGGCCTGCTTGTGTGGATTCTACATGAGAAGAACCAAGCCCCTTTGGGTTATATATGCCCAGACAGCTTCCAGCTCCTTGGTTGCCTACTGTAAGGGACAGAGGGGTTGAGAAAGAATAATAATAATGTAATAATAAATCTAAATGATAACCTATGAGTAGGGTTATTATCACCATTTCAGGCTTTTAAAAAATCAACTTTTTGGGTGAGTGTTGTCACACAGCAGGTAAGTCACTGCTTAGGATGCCTGTACCGCATACCAGAGTGCCTAGAATGGAGTCCCTGCTACTTGATGCTTCCAATCCAGCTCCCTGTTGAAGCACCTGGGAGGCAGCAGAAGCTGTCCCAAGTACTTGGACTCCTACCATTTCTGTGGGAGACTGGGATAGAATTCTGGGCTCCTGGGTTTGACCTGGTCTAGCTCCAGCTGCTCAGACCCCTTGGGGAGTGAACCAGCAGATGGAAGATCCCTCTCTGTGTTTCTCCTTCTCTCCCTGTCACTCTGCCTTTCAATAAAATACAATAACTCTTTAAAAAGATCAACTTCTGTTTTATATATGTGGGTGTATACACATATTGTTGTACAATACAACAAACTGGATTTGTGCCTCTAAGGTAGGTCATCTGAGAATGTTGATTTCACAAGATCAATTATATCTAGCAATTTGTTCACACAGTCAACATCCACTGCATGCCTGTGACCATGCACTGGGCTTTGCACAGGCTGACAGGGACACAGAGTTAAGTGCAAGAAAGTGTTCCTCTCAGACAGTCTGAAATCAGCCGTAAACAAGCACAGATGACCCAGTCCCCAACTGACAATGGTGTGACTGAGGCTATTTTGATTTCAAGATGATGTGAAGGCAATATGCATTCCATAGAAACCATACTTTTGAATTTGCAACGTGCAGTACCATACTCTATTGCAGTGCTGAGCACCAGCAGTGAGCACAACTCCCAGTCACCTCCCCACCCCATCGCAAGGAGAAACGACCAATGCTCTACAGTGTCCAGTGTTGCCAATGTGGTTTTGGTAATATATTTTATGTTTCTGATCACCATCATGACTAAAAACCACCCATCTGCACATGCACATGAAATATTGAGCACATTATTATAAAATAGACTTTATGTTAGGTGTTTTTGCCTAGCAGTAGGCTGATTAGATGTACGTTATCGAAAAACATTTCAGATAGGCTAGGCTAAGCTATGATATATGGTAGGGCAGTTATATTAAATGATAGTGTTGGTGTATAAATGTATTTTCAGGAGCACTTAGCCCAGAAGCTAAGACATCTGCATCCCCCATCAAAGCCCCTAGTTTTAATTCTAGGCTTCAGTTCTTGACTCTGTTTCCCACCAATGTAGACTCCAAGAGGCGGCGGTGATGGCTTAAGTGAACCACTCACATGGGATACATGAATTGAGTTCCCAGCTCTTGGCTCCAGCCCCAAGTATTTACTCTCACAAGTAAATATTTTTTAAAAATTTAAAGCATTTTGACTTACAATATTTTCAACCTACAGTGGGTTTATTGTGACATAAGCCCATCATAAATATATCAATATATAATGACAGAGAATATTTTTCAATTTCATATATGAAAAATAAAACAGTGAATAAAGATGGCTAACAAATAATGGAAGGGGGAGGCTTGTCTATTTAACATAAAGTAGTCAGAGAAGGCTTCTGTGAAGAGGTGATATTTAATGGTAGACTTCATTGATGTAAAGGAGTGGGTCATGTTAAATCAGAAGGAAGAGAATCCTGGGTAGCAAGAACTGCATATATAAAGGTATTGAGGCAGGAATGAACATGATGCAATAGAGGAACAGCAAATTTGCCAGCCAATGGCAGACAAGAGACAGAGTGACTGAGACTTACTGATGGCAGCAGTACTGGGGAGAGTGGTTGGATTGTGGGCACAGTTTGAGGGTGGAGTTAACAGATGTGCTGAGTGAGAATTGTATGTGGGTATGGAGATTAAGAAGAGGAACAAACAAATGAGAAGAGGTGGAGAGAGATGAAGACATCAAGAATTCTATACGGGGCTGATGTTGCATAATGGGTAAAGCCTCCACCTGCAACACCTGTATCCCACATAGGTGCTGGTTCGAGACCTGGCTGCTCTACTTCTGAACCAACTCCCTGCTAATGCACCTGGGAAAGCAGCAGAAAATGGTTCAAATGCTTGGGCGCTGCACCCACATGGGAAACCCAGATGAAACTCCTGGCTCTTGGCTTCAGCCTGTCCCAGCCCTGGCTGTTGTGGCTATCTGGGGAGTAAATCAGCAGATTGAAGATTTCTCTCTCTGACTCTGCCTCTCCCTCTCTGTAATTCTGCCTTTCAAATAAATAAATATCTTTTAAAAATTCTATATTAAGTTATGAAATCTGAGATATCCTGGCATGCAAATGGCAATGCCAATTGATCAGTATGTGGAGCTCAGGGAACAGGAACTAAGAGAGAAAGCAGGGTCATTGGGAAGGCTGGGCAGAAATCAGAGAGGTTTATTCTCACAGAAGGAAAGAATGTAAAGAAGAAAAGGGAAGTAAGCACTGTTTAAAACTGCTGAGGAACCAGGGAGGATAAAAGGGGGAATTCTTTCATGAAGTGGCAACTTTGAGAAATCTGATGTCAGACACTAATGGAGATGCTTCCGTCAAAGTTAAAACAATGAGAGCCATGAGGGAAAGCGGCTATGAACACAGACCTACTCTTTTTAAGTCTGTCCATTTTCAAACAGCTTCTCCCTCTTCAAATTACTGAGGATCCCAAGGAGACTTTTAACCTTGGGGATAGTATCTGCCAGTATTTAACATACTAACTAAAAGCAAGTAATTGGGTTTTAAATGTTATTTTATTAGCTATTTAAGTATACTAACTCTATTATAAATATAATACATATATATGGTTGTTTTAATGAAAAATAACTATTTTCCCAAGCAACAAATGAGGTTAGCAAGAAAAGAAGAATGATTAACACATTTGCAAATCTCTTTCATGTCTGTCTTAATAGATGGCAGCAGGATTCTCAGATCTGCTTCTGTCTTCAATCTGTTGCAATCTGTAATTTTGGTTGAAGTACACGTAGAAAATCTGGCATCAAACAGATGGGTAGTTGGAAACGGAATTTCCTGGAGAGTGTCAGGAGGCTGGGAGATGCTCGAGCCAGGCATTGACAATTCTGGTGTAGTATTCTTCTGTAAGAAACTTAACAATAGAAATAGAGAAATTGAGTGGCAACTCCAGGGAGGATTGGATTTGAGGGAAGTACAAGGAACACTTAAAGATGCTCCTAAATCCAACAGAAGGAAATAAGAAAGGGGGGTGGGGCTGAAGATACCGGAGAGAGGTAATTGTTGAATCAAGTTCCCAAGGGAGGAAAGAAGTGTGGAGTTGGATCACAGCAGGGGAAGTTTGGCTTCTAAAAAGGGAATGCTAACTTTTCCTAAGGACACAGAAGCATAAGCAAGGATAAGTGGTTACACAGAGAAAACCCAAGGCAGTGAGAACGTGGGGATAGCCTAAGATGGGGGAAGGGAAGACATCTTCAGTCTTTTCCGTGAAGAATGATACACATCATTTCTTGAAAGTGAGCAACGAAGGTGCAATATTGGAGACAAGGAAAGACAGCTGTGAGGGAGCTAAGGTGAGAACAACTAAAATAATGATTAAATGAGCAACATATGTACAGACACACTGCACAGTGCTTAGCTCACACTCAGCGTCTATGACACGTTCTGTTTAAATGAATGGAAGGGCAGCAGGAAGGGGCTCTTATTGGAGGATACCAGGCAAGTGGTTCTTATTGGCTGTCTGGGAAATCCATGTCAGTGGCTGGGGCTGGACACACTTCTACTCCTTTGGGGTGGCCTTACAAACTCCCAGAGGACTGATTCTCTCTCTGAAACCCAGCCCAATCCACATGAGGAAATCTTCACACTGGAGATGGACTTAGGATTTGTCACTGAAAAGCGAATCTTGTGGAATAGTATTATCCTTCTTTTCTGCACATAATTCAAGTAAGCAGTACACCCATCTGGTATTTATTTCAGTAAATCTCTTTCCAACTTTCTGTCACATATTTATTAGGAGCACTCATATTTACTAAACTAAAAGAAAGAGGTGAACTCAAGGAGTTTTTCTTATGGGATTTTTAGTTAGGCACATCCGTTATCACTTTTAATTGAGAGGGTAAAAGAAATGATTTCATTCTACATCTTTAGAAAGCTGTTCTTGAATCTACCTTGCCCCCCTTTTCCTTTAAGAATAGCCAAAATTCTCTTCTTAAAATGTTTTCACTCAATTTCAATTTTTGAAGCTGTCAACTTCAATACCCAACTGTGCTTGAGGTCATGAATTCATAATTTGAAACAATTTTAACTTTATCTCTGATTATTCCTCATGAAAATGGATATTAATTCACTTTCTCTGACTTTATAATTTTTGTTTTCCCAATTTACTCTGCCAAGTAAACTCTCTAAACTATCTTTTGTATCAACTGCTTTCCTTGGGAACAATGAAAGAACATTCAACTAGGTTTGGACTAGGGTTCTATTGCTCCAAGAGCTTGTTCCATGATCTTGAATAAGCATTTCCAATTTTGATGGCTAACCTCTGTACAAATGAAATATCCAGAAATGAAGTGCTAAAGGCTAGAATATAATCAGTCTATCTGATGACAAAATCAATCATTTATATCTCCCAATTTTTTTTAAGTTTAGGATGATTCTCATATAAGGCAAAAAAAAAAAAAAAACCGCAAAAGTATATTCTATATCCATTTCCTTTCATTGCCATATAGGCATAGCCTATACTAAAACTTTCACTATAAGGGTTGGGGCTGTGACTCCAGCATCCCAGATAGGATCACTGGTTTGAGTCCCAAACCATATGCTTCACTTCTGATCCAGCTCCCTGCTAATGCACCTATTAATGTTAACACTGCTCGTGTGGGAGACCTGGACAGAGTTCCAAGCTCCAGGCTTTAGCCAGGCCCAACTCTGGTTGTTGTGGTTATTTGGGGAATGAACCATCAGATGAGAGTTCTCTCTCTCTCTCTCTCTCTCTCTGTCACTCTGCCTTTCAAATAAATAAATCTTTAAAAAATAAAGTTTCATCATATATCCATATCACTTATTACTACATAAAAAGAGTAAAAAGAATAAATACCATCTTTTCTTGTTTCTTACCTTATTTCTGGTAGTATAGTAAGAGCTTCACACATACACTGTCACATTTTCACTTCACAACCCCAAGTTCTCTTTTGTCTATTGTCCAGATGAGGAACCTGAGCTAAGTCACATTGCCAAGTTCAGCTCCAGAGCTCCAGTCCCCTCTATTACACTTGGGGACAGAGTTCTGAATGTAAGATGGCCACCGAAGAGGGAAGGTGCGGTGTTACAGCTGGAAGTCAGAAAGCCCACACCAAAGCTGAACCTGGAGGAGGTGGAATGAAAGATTGTGCGAGGTTGTGATCACCGTGGAACTTCTTCCTCTACATGGCCCTGTGGGGAGTCACTCTTTTCAACCTAAAGAAACTAGACTGCATATGGAATTGGGCATTGGGTGTGAATGTGTGAGAGGAAGAGCCAGGTTACAGTTTCTACTCCTTTCTATAAATGAAAAGACCCAGAGAGGTATATGAGACTCTTCGGGCATAAAAATTCTACTTGTTAAGGACAGGTTTACCTCTTAGACCCACCTGACCTTCATAGTTAAATTAAAAAACTATTTTGGAATGATGGAGAGCTTGCGGTCAGAGTGTGTCCCGATGCCAGTGATACTCAGCTTCCATGAATGCTGCTCTTAAGTGTGAATCACATTCAAAATCCATTTCCCAGAAAGTATTAATTATAAAAGAAAAATGTCTGAAATGGTCCTACCTTGTCCATCATTTCTGTTTGCCATATTACTTCTTTCCGGTTAGGATGTATTTGTGAAGAACACCTTTTAATTAGTTAACATTTTATGGAAATCAGCACACAGTCTCAGTGACATTTAAGCACAGAGCCATTAATCTATATTTTTAGTAAATGTACCAATTAAGAAAAAAAAAAGGGCTCATGGAAATTAAAAGATAAGTTTGTTTAGATGCTAACATTTTGCAAGCATATTTTTCATAATACACATGCTTTATGAACTTTTAGAGAACTCCTTGTATACTCTATTACATCACTTATGTTTTTATTAGGATATTACTATGAAGATTGAAGGGTTGTGTGTGTGTGTATACAAGTCTATACACATGCACTGCAAACCCTGAACAAGATGAGCAGAACCTGTGAGAAATTTAGAAAAATCTACCTATTTGCATTTTGCTTTCACACCTACAACACACAAGAAAGCCTGGTAGCACAAAGAAGGAAATAAAGATTGAGAGGAATTTCAGACAAAGTTACTTTGATCCAATAGGGTCACACACTAAAAAACCATCTCTCTCACAGATTTCAGCTCTCTTTGAGTGAAAATAATCTAATTGGCTTTATATTGACCCCATCTTTGTAGTCTCCTTATCTGAAAGAGTGCTTTAGGCAACATTTTCATCACCAGAGTAGAAATTTAACTTAGAATTCAGTGAATAAAATGATACAGTTTGTGCATGATGTTACTGTCATGAGGATCCTCCAGGGGAATCCAATTTATGTAGGTTTCTGTCCAGGCCTATGAATGTTTTGAACCCTACACTAAATTGTATTGTTGTGATTATTTTCACAAATATTATCCTCTGAAATCATTTGCTTCTACAAGGTAAAATGTCTCCTCCAAAAAAATCATTTACAAATGAAACATTTAGCTTAATGGAATAAAGGCCTTTAATTTGTGATAACAACCATCCATCAAATATAAGAGTTTTAATAATTAAGGTCAAAGTGTCCATTGAGCAAATTAGTTCTCTTTCCAAAGCTATGCCAAATATTTTATTTTTTAAAAAAGTTGTCCTGTTTTCCTCTATAAGATTTTGGTGCATTCCAGTTTTCTCAAGGAGCTTAGTAATGCTTAAAATTTAATTAACTTTAATTAGCTCTAAAATGATAACCATAACATATGGCAACTTTCAAGGGTATATAAATATAGGTCTAACTTATATCTGGAAATATTTTCAAAGTTAAAAAAAATCTCACCAACAGAAAAAATAGTATATTGTTATTACAACAATTTTATGATACCATTTCTTATATTGCCACATATTAGCTCGTGTGAGAAAATTATTTATGATTTACTTTAAAAAATCCATTGTGTTCAGTAGTCTACTAGTTCATACCCCTGAAAATAAAAATTCCTCAGTGATGTCAGGCAGATATGAAATTCTGAACAAAATCACTATGGCCACTTAGTTCTATTCATATCTTGATAGTCAACTTGCATTCCTCTTTTTTCCCCCTTATTTCCTTACCCTGCCATGATGCAAATCAGATGTTATTATTTTAACAAATATAGGGAGTTGGGCATTTGTGTGCAGTGGTTAAGATGGCACTAGGGATGGCTCTACCCCATATCACAGTGCCTGAATTTGAATCCTAGCTCTACTTTTGATTCCAGCTTCCTGCTGGAAGGTGCCTGGGAGGCTGATTATGGTCCAAGTGGCTGGGTTCCTGCTACCTATGCAGGAGACCCAGCCTAGTCCAGCTCCTGCTGTTGTAGGCATTTGGGGAGCAAACCAGTACACGGAAGACCTCTCTCTGTGTCTCTGTCCCTCTGCCTTGCAAACAAATAAATAAACATCTTTCTTTATTAAAAATGAAACAAATACAGGGAATTTTTTTTCTAACCTTCACATGAAACCAGTGTTTGTGTGTCTTTTTCTCCCTGCACCTTAATGGTAATGAGCCCTGGGAAGCTTGGGTCTTTGGCAGAGTCAGGTGGCCATGAAATGCATTCTTCCTTGTGTAACTCAGGAGAACTTCTCCAGTCCCCTCCCTCACATCATCACGAGTCACTGACTTTGTACCAGTGACATTCCAGTGGGAGTTAAAGCAGTGAGAACGGGGAATTCCGAGTCTCATTGCTATGCGCACTCCCAATTCTGCCATAGGTCAGTTTGTCACCCACACAACTGGAATTAGATATTGCAAAGAATTGTGAGATTGCTGATTTCAAATGGAATTTTCTCCTCTATCTGATCTGGGCACTGGGCTTTCAGAAACCTCTGCTTTGTCTCGGAGGCTCCCAGAAGCCTCCCTGGCAGGGTCTGCAGCTGGGGGTCTCAAGCAATTGAGCAATAGGTGACAATATGCTAACTTCATGCTAATTTCAGGATGTAACCTCTAACTTCAAAGAACCTCTATATGCTCTTTGAATAGCAAGGATGGTCAGGATCAAAATAATGAACATAGACAGGATGAGAAGGAAAAGCCCCCAAAAGAGTCTGAATATTTTATTTTATTTTTTTGACAGGCAGAGTGGACAGTGAGAGAGAGAGACAGAGAGAAAGGTCTTCCTTTGCTGTTGGTTCACCCTCCGATGACCGCCATGGCCAGCGCGCTGCAGCCGGCGCACTGCACTGATCCGAAGCCAGGAGCCAGGAGCTTCTCCTGGTCTCCCATGGGGTGCAGGGCCCAAGCACTTGGGCCATCCTCCACTGTACTCCCTGGCCACAGCAGAGAGCTGGTCTGGAAGAGGGGCAACTGGGACAGAATCCGGCGCCCCGACTGGGACTAGAACCCGGTGTGCTGGCGCCGCAAGGCGGAGGATTAGCCTAGGGAGCCGCGGCACCGGCCAAGAGTCTGAATATTTGTCACCAGCAATAGCCCAGAACAAAATTGTGAAATATAAAAATGTGTATTTATACCCATTGCTGGTAGCTTCCTTTATTATTATTATTATTATTATTATTATTAAGATTTACTTACTTGACAAGCAGTGACAGGGAGCAAGAGAGAGACAGGGAGCTCTGACATCCACTGGTTCACTTCACAAATGGCTGCAAGGGCCAGGGCTGGGCCAGGCCAAAGTCAGAAGCCAGGAGCCTCTCCCAGCTCTCCCACCGGGGTACAGGGGCCCAAGCACTTGGGCCATCCTCTGCTGCTTTCCCAGGCACATTAACTGGGAGCTGGATCAGAAGTGGAGCAAAGTGGACTTGAGTTGGTTCCATATGGGAAATAAGCACTGTATGCCACAACACTGGCTCCAGCTTCCTTCTTTAAAAAAATATTTATTTTTATTTATTTATTTGAAAGGTATAGAGTTGGGAGAGACAGAGAGAGAGAGAGAGAGGGAGTCTTCCACCTGTTGATTCATTCACCAAATGGCTGCAACAGCCATGGCTAAGCCAGGTTGCAGTTAGGAGTCAGGAATCCATTTGGGTCTCCCATGTGAGTAGCAACAATCCAAGTACTTGGGCTATCATCTGCACAGGTGCATTAGCAGGAAGCTGGATTGGAAGCAGAGTAGGCAGAATTCCAACAGGCATAGTGATATGGGATTCTGGTGCTGAAGGTGGCAGCTTAGACCATTGCACCAAGAGATGGGTCCCAAAGAGAGTAACCTCCTTCTATTTTCATCTTCTCCTTGTATCTTGGCATCTAATTTTCCTCTGGGGTTTGATCTTTAGTATATATTAATAATATTAATATTATTTTTAATTGAGCTATATTCTAGACAATTTAATAAGTATAATGTATTTTTTAGATTTATTTATTTATTTGAAAGGCAGAGTTACAAAGAGGTGAGGCAGAAAGAGAAAAAGTCTTCCATTCGCTGGTTCACTCTTTAAATGGCAACAATGGCTGGAGCTGCGCCAATCCAAAGCCAGGATCCAGGAGCTTCCTCCAGGTCTCCCATGTGTGTTTAGGGGCCCAAGGACTTGAGCCATCTTCCATTGCTTTCCCAGGCCATAGCAAAGAGCTGGATCGGAAGTGGAGCAGCTGGGAACCGGCGCCCACATGGGATGCTGGCACTGCCTACAGCAGTTTTACCCAGTATGCCACAGCACCAACCCCAGTATAATGTATTAACCAACATGAATACTGTGGAAAATGCAAGTTAAAGAAATCTTGGCTTGGCTCTCCAATGACCCCATATAAGCTATGCCTATATATGTTAGATGATAAAGCATGTCATGATGTTATGTCCCATATGAATCTAGATGGGACTTCTCTTTGTAGTTACTTCTCCAAATATGTCTAAAGTTTTAAAAGTAGAGGCTATGTCCTTAACATTGCTGTATGTTTCTCAGAGCTAGACATGAGCACACACATTAGGAATGTAACACTTATCAATACAATTTTCACCAACAAATAAACACACACATACATGCCTTTGAGAAACATATGCAAATACAAACACACCCTTTGATTTCTTTTGATGAAGCTTTTTCCACTGAGTCTCCTTCCTCACAAATGTGACCCCAATACAAAGTCTTTCCCTTCCAGCCTTTCATGTGTGCATGGCTCACAAGTTATATCCTGGATGCTATCGGGGTGTTTCACAGGACAAATACATTTTCTCTTTCTCACAAAAGGAGAATTCTTCAAAGATGTGAACTTTTTTTTTTTGACAGGCAGAGTTAGACAGTGAGAGAAAGAGAGACAGAGAGAAAGGTCTTCCTTCCGTTGGTTCACCCCGCAAATGGCCGCTATGGCCGGCGCACTGCAGCAGGCGCACTGTACCAATCCGAAGCCAGGAGCCAGGTGCTTCCTCCTGGTCTCCCATGCGGGTGCAGGGCCCAAGCACTTGGATTAGCCAAGTGAGCTGTGGCGCCGGCCCAAAGTACAGCATTTGAATTATAGTGGCTCTTCCCCCTATAACCTCCCACCTGCAACCATCCCATCTCCTACTCCCTGTCCTATCCCATTCTTCATCAAGATTCATTTTCAATTATCTTTATATACAGAAGATCAACTTAGTATATACTAAGTAAAGATTTCAACAGTTTGCACCCACACAGAAACACCAAGTATAAAGTACTGTTTGAGTACTAGTTATAGCATTAATTCACATAGTACAACATATTAAGGACAGAGATCCTACAAGGGGAGTAAGTGCACAGTGGCTCCTGTTGTTGATATAACAATTGACACTCTTATTTATGACTTCAGTAATCACCCGAGGCAAAGATGTGAACTTAAAGGAAGACCTAAAAGATAAGAGGTATTTACGAAGAAGAATGTGGGGGAAAAGACTCAAGACAGAGAAAGTAGCAAGGAGTATGGTGCATCGAAGGAAAGGAACAGAGGCAATGTGGCCAGAGAACACAAAACTCACTTTGGGCTTGGGCCTTGCAGTGCCGCTCCAGGGAACAATGCTGGCTGGACAAGTCCTAAGTAGGTGGGAAGCATGCAGGAGGGGAACAGTGTTTTAGTCCAATTTTATTGCCCTCTTTTAGCCTAAAACTATCCATTTTATCTTACAGAACCACTCAACTGTGTTTCTATTGCCACAGATCTGCAGTATGCTCTTCTTCCCACCCCCATGTCCCTGGTATTTTCTGAATCCTCTGGGATGCATCACCTCATCACTGGGATGCTGTAGTTGCTGACCAAACAAAACCATGAGTTGCCGTTGCTATTCTTGATCATTCTTCACTCTCATGAATGCTAATTGAAAACTCTCGCTTTCTTATATACTACAAATTCTGTAAGCAAAGAGGCATCACTTGGAGCCAACAGAGTATGTTTTATGACTTATATAAAACAATAAAATCAGAACAATCAAAATACAGTCTTATTTGAAGCCATGGGTTTATTATTAGTAAGCTGTATGTTAACAATTAACTTTCCAGTGTATCAAATTTTTAAAATTTTATTTGTTTTTGGAAGGCAGAGCCAGAGAGCCAGAGAGAGAGGGAGAGAGAGAGAGAGCAAGAGAGAGGATTTTATTTGTAGATTCATGCCCCCACTGGCTGCAACAGCCAGATCTGGACAGGGCAAAGCCAGGAGCCAGAAACTCTATCTAGGTCTCCCACAAGGGCAAAAGTGTCCCAAGTACTTGGGTCATCATCTGCTGCCTTCCCAGGTGCGTTAGCAGGAAGCTGGATTGGAAGCAGAGTAGCCCAGACTGACCAGGACTCAGATATGTGATGCTGGTGTCACAGGCAGCGACTTAACAGTTTATCAAATTTTTAAGCCCAGTGGAAGCTTCAGTAGTAATCCACTTGATACAAAGTACCTGGTTATTTTCTGCAAACTGGCATTAGTAGCCATCCATTAAGTAACTTTTACATTAAAGGAAAAAACCCAGATGCATTCAGTAGTCTTTGAAAGTCCAGTTCATGTGGCTATAAAAGGAGACAATGGCTTACTTTGCCAAAAGTGTGTAGCCTACATTTTGAGATAATAGAAAAATTTTCCATGCAACAATAATCAAAACATTTATTGTATGTTTTATGCACTATATAAATTTAAGTATCAAAGTTTTCAAACATGAAGTATATTGAAAACATTGGATCTCAGAAAAGATCAAGTGATATCACACATATGCAAGAGCTTTGAAAATGGTAAAGCACTATAAAATATATTAAGTAAGGCATGAAAATAATATATACATGCAATAGCAGAAACCAAATGGAACTGCATTCTGCAAATGATGTAATGATTCTTGTTTGTCTAATTTGCATTTTCGGAAAAGACTGCTCATAAGTTACAACAGCAGCTAAGTTTACAACAATTTTTCTTTGTTCTTGGCAAACAAAAAAAGGTTAAGAATTTGCAGACAAGTCTTGGCAAAGAGGTATTATGATTCAGCTTTGCCAATCCCCGAGAACTCCAGCATACAGCTGGAAAAAGTTCGTAGGTTATGAACTTGTTAGAAAAACTTTCAATTAGTGTAGTTATTCAGTACAATCAAGTCATGATTGGACCCTGAGAACTAACACACTTCTAGACCATTTCACATACCAGTTGGCTCTTCTCACTCCCATTTAGATGGGCTCTTTTTCCATGCAAAAACATCACTGGTGTTGAAAAGGTAAATAGCATAACCAATACTTTCCTACTTCACATAAATATATCATTTGTCCTGTTAAAGATCAACTGGACTATTTCCTATATCACAAGTTTTCTCATCCAGACTTTAACTGATCTAAATGAAAATACTGATTGGTATTTTACCCTAAATGTATACAAACTTTTTTGTATATCCAATGGTACTTCAGATTGATTTGCATATATATAGATCAGATCTAGACTTCACAATGTGATAGAGCTGGAGGGGAGTTTGCAGATCAGGCAATTGATTCCACTGGCCCATTCTTCTCGTTCTTCTCACTTGTCAGGTAAAGACTGAGTCCCTGGGAGGCATTTCTATAATATCTATGTTTCCACAAATCAACTGCTATTGGAGAAATGATGGCCACATTTTTTTTTTGAAGACATCAATGTTGCAAGAATTCTCTCTACTTTCCCTTTTTGTTGCTTGCTCAAACAGGATCCGTTTCTTCTTTTTCAGCCTGCCTCACAGCCCCAAATTCTTTTGCCCCTTATATGGAAGATATCACTTGCTTAAACATGTTCAGAAGCACAGAGAAAAAGGAATCACCAAAAAGTTTTATATATATTTATATAAGTGTGTGTATCTATATATTTAAATATACACAAATATATTCTACATGTGTATATATATATAAGTATATATGTATACATATATATATATACACATATTCACATATTCAGCTTCAGCAAATGAACCAACACAAAGACTTGTCTAAAAAAGGCTGGCGCCGCGGCTCACTAGGCTAATCCTCCGCCTAGCGGCGCCGGCACACCAGGTTCTAGTCCCGGTCGGGGCGCCGGATTCTGTCCCGGTTGCCCCTCTTCCAGGCCAGCCCTCTGCTGTGGCCAGGGAGTGCAGTGGAGGATGGCCCAGGTGCTTGGGCCCTGCACCCCATGGGAGACCAGGAAAAGCACCTGGCTCCTGGCTCCTGCCATCGGATCAGCGCGGTGCGCCGGCCGCAGCGCGCCGGCCGCGGCGGCCATTGGAGGGTGAACCAACGGCAAAAGGAAGACCTTTCTCTCTGTCTCTCTCTCACTGTCCACTCTGCCTGTCAAAAAAAAAAAAAAAAAAAAACCTCTGTATTATATATAACAGTTGACCATGACCTGACATTATCTTAATCTCATTCAAAAGTCCTTATGCATAATCTCTGTCTTTATAGAAACATTCCAGTTTTATGGTTCTACTTTTTCACATCGATCTGTCTTCATTTGGATTTTCTTAAATTAAAACATAAACAAAAAATCTAGACTGGTATGAGATCCACTATATGTGAAATAGATACTTAGCTGCTATTTTTTTTTAAAGAATGGCATTATTTTTCCATTTAGTTTTTGTAGTTTTTGATTTATAAATAAATGCATTTATAAATATATGCATGCTCATTATAAGCAAATTCAAATAACACCAGACTCCATAAAGTGAAAAATGGAATTTTCCCTTTAAATATCTGTCAAAATTTTCTTCCAGAAACATCAGGTTTAAGCTTATAAGCGCTGAAATCTACTCATCTGGCTTCTGGCTACCATACTTCCCAGCTGCATGGTCCTGAACAAGTTACCTGGCTTTTTATTTTTTTAAGATTTATTTTATTTACTTGAAAGGCAGAGTTAGAGAGAGAAAGAGAGAGAGAGAGAGAGAGAGAGAGAGAGAGGCAGGCAGAGGGAGAAAGATCTTGCATTCGCTGGTTTACTCTCCAAACCACCATGGCCAGGGCTGGGCCAGGCCAAAGTCAGGAGCCAGGGACTTCTGGGTCTCATACATGGGTGGCAGGGGCTCAAGAACTTGGGTCATCCTCCGCTGCTTTTTCAGGCACATTAGTAGGGAGTTGGCTCAGAAGTGGAGTAGCTGAGACTCCAACCAGTGCCCATATGGAACACCGGCATTGCAGGCGCAGCTTTTGCCCACTATGCCTCAATACCAACCCCAATCCAGATTTTCTGTGCTTCATTCACACCATTAATAAAAGGCATATTATAATAATAAATAAATAACAATAAATAAATAAAAATAATAAAATTATAATTAATAAATAATAAAAGGCTATTAGCATATATGTTTATTATGCATGTAGAAGAATATCTAGCATATAATAGGTGCTCGATAAATCATAGCTAAATTATGTTAGCGGGGCTGGCACTGTGGAGTAGCAGGTAAAGCCGCCACCTGCAGTGCCGGCATCCCATGTGGGCGCAGGTCTGTTTTCTGGCTGCTCCACTTCCAATCCAGCTCTCTGCTATGGACTGGGAAGGCAGTAGAAGATGGCCCAAGACTTTGGGCCCCTGCACCCACATGGGAGACCCAGAGGAACCTCCTGACTCCTGGCGTCGGATAGGTGCATCTCCAGCTGTTCTGGCCAACTGGGGAGTGAACCAGTGGATGGAGGAACATCTCTCTCTCTCTGCCCTCTGTAACTATGACTTTCAAGTAAAATAAATAAATCTTTAAAAAAAATTAGTATAATTAAATGTTAGCCATTGTTATAATTATTTTAAAATGCAAACAAAAGTGTAAGCAATAATACAAAGTGATAAAAATAACATCAACTGAAGAAAAATGTGAACCTAAAGCTGTAATATCAATTTGTATTTTATCATTCTATTATGCCAATATCAAATTTAGTTTAATAAGTCATTATTAGTGTTGCCAACTGGCTATGATATACAATCTATATCAAAACCTTCTGAAAGGTATAACATTTGAATTCAAATTATTTTTATTCTACATATATATTGGCTGGATATGATGTATGTATTAGCATCTAAACAAAAATAGCTCTCCACTGAAATTCCAAATCTTCCATAAATTTCTCTCCTCTCTACCCTTCTCTCATAATACACTACCCTCTCTCTCAACTTTTTCTTCTCAATCCTAGATTTTGAAAAAGGTCAACTCAAGTCAATGCATCCTCCTGGCATGGTATGACCATAGCTCACATTGCAGTCTCCTACCTGGCATGGGTTGGACAAGGCCAACACAATGTCCAGTACAGCACCCAAGCTTCTCCAAGTTCACCCATGGTCCTGGTTCTGTCCATTTAATCCAGCTTCCCAGGAACCACAGCATGGCAGCATCCTGGGACTGTACTCTCTACATTGACATTCACAGCTGCAAGCTGCTGTCCTGAGGGCTACTTATCTACTTCTCATCTGCTCCGAGGTTTCCTATGAAACACATGTTTGCCTTTCCATATTTTTAAAATATTCATTTATTATTTACTTTATTTGAAAGGTAGTGAGACAGACAGAAACCTCCCATCCACTGCTTCATTCCTGAAATGTTGCAACCACTGGAGCTGGGCTAGACTGCAGCCAGGATCCAGGAGCTCAATCCAGGTCTCCCACACAGGTAGAAGGGTCACAAATATCTGAACCATCACTTGCTGCCTCCCAGGGTGCACGGTAGCAGGAGTCTGGAACTGAGACCAGAGCTGAGATTTGAGATTTGAACAAAGCACTCCAATATGAGATGCATGTGTCCCAAGCTGTATCTTAACTGCTACACCAAACGCTTACCCCACATAGCATATTTAATGTTAGTAGAAAGCCATTGCAACTCAGTTGGCAAACTCTAGTTGGTACACACTGCAAACATGTTTAAAGCCAGCTCATCTAAGAAGTTTAAAATAATCTGTTGCTGCTTTCACTTTCAGGATAAAACACCTGTGCATATTCAGAGCTATGCTTAAGCGTGAAGCTGATCAGAGTATCTGTGATGATCTGACAAAACAAGGAGAAAGAGTACAATGCTTTCATGAGAACAAAGAAGGAGCGGGCTTCCTGTGAGGTCCCAGGATTATAAGCA